GGAAGTTTGCTGCATTTACCATGTTAAAACAACTGTCATCTCATTAATGCTATTTTAGCATAGACTTTCTTAATCTTTATAAGAATATCCTATCTGAAAAAATAAGCACAATAATAATTATTCATGTATTTTGAAATTTTTTTTATGTCTGTATAGCTTCCTTTCTACTTTGAAAATGTACTATCCCTCTTGCACAGATGGGAAAACTGAGGCATCCATGGAAAGTTCACCTGGAGGTCTTCCAGAGGAAGACAGAACTCCTGTTCTCAAAGCAGAACCTTATTATAAGTCATACATTAAACTTATCAAGATGTATTTGTAAATTAACTAAACAGAAGCCGCACTTTAGAGATACCATTTAACATTTACTTTTCCTCCCACAGGAACTTTTTACACCAGAGTGCAAATTCAAGGAGTCCGTTTTTGAAAATTATTATGTAATCTACTCATCCATGCTCTACAGACAACAGGAGTCCGGGAGGGCCTGGTTCTTGGGGCTGAACAAAGAAGGGCAGGTCATGAAAGGAAATAGAGTGAAGAAAACAAAACCAGCAGCTCATTTTCTACCCAAGCCATTGGAAGGTGAGGCTCAGTCCATCGCTGGTAGACCCTCCTATAAATCTCACAACAAAAGGGAACGATTTCTAAAATGCCCTTTCTGAATATGTGTGCCTTGCACAGGGGCCATTACTAATGACAGTCCTAAAGATTCATGGAGCAGTTTTGTGCTTCAGCATAGTGATGATAGAAAGGGCATATGTAAAAACATTTTTCCAGGGATTAAGAGGTCATTCTATAAGAAAAGAACTCTTTTGTGGAAGTGCATTGTGCTGCTTTTAAAATATTCTGTTGGTAGGGACAAAAGCTGTTGTGAGTCTTGCATTGAGAAAATAGTCCTTTTATTAGGCAGAATGAAATAATGGATATTGTAGGATAATCGGGAGTTATATAGGGAATGCATGAAATGTCAGCATTTCAAAGTAAAAGCTTTCTAATACAAAACACAAAGGTCTCTATGAAATAAATCATGCTGTGTTACTTTGCCAATTGGTGTAACGTACATAACTTTTGTAAGTTGGCCTTTAAACCAAGATAGAAGCAAATAACAGTCACAGTAACCTTACACACTAAAATGATGTCACACATTCTCTGAAAAATGCATCCATTTATATCTTGGAACTTTTGTCTTATCCTATGCATTCTACAAGCCTCTATAAACCTATGCTGTCTTTCATTTCTTGTCCTGATGGCACTCCAAATTTTACTGTTCTTATTGCTTCACATAGCTTCAGTCATTCTGAAAGTTATCTCATCACTTAACATCTGAAAACATGTCTGAGTAAATTTTTGATTAGACAATCAGTTTGTAAAATATTTTAGTTTCATCGTAAAGAATCAGAATAATCTAAGTTTTGAATTCATTTTTGAACTCAGGTTGATGCTATCTTGCTTTTCTTGTCTTGTAAAAGCTTCCAGTAGTTCCATGAGCTCTCAACAATATTAATACTTTATATCTTGATTCCTTTATATTAAATAATACAAATTGCTAAGAGGGAAAGCGATTGAATTTTTAAAAGAAATGCAAACTGATATGGATTAGGAAAGAAGTTAGTTTTTTCAATAATATTTGGATTATCAGACTATCAAAATAGCTTAGACAATGCATAGAAATAACTTGATTTATATTGCTGTAAAGAGCTGCTCAGAGACTTTTGGATCTTTGAGCAGCAAAGGTATTTATTGACAGCACTGGGAGCAAGCGTGGCTCACACCACAAAGAACTTCTCAAAGGTTTCACACAAAATCAGTAGTTTTTATACAATTTTCATATATGATTAAATGCATATTCATGTGATTACAACAGCTATCTATACATATTAATAACAGGCAGAGTATAGATGGAGCTCAGGCGGGGCTTGGAGTGGTGCTTCTCTTGGCCCTCAATCTTGGTGGGAGATCCGCTCTTCCTCTCTTGAGTCTGGGGTCTCATCTCATCTTCCTCATCTTGACCTTCCTACTTTTCCGTTGTTCTCGATCCACTCACTGGAGCTTGGAGAAAGCCTTGGCTCCAGGCCTGTTTCTCCTATTCAAATGTCTACTTTATCTTACTGCATCCTAATTTATTACCTCTAGGCCTATTGTATGCTTCTTCTACCATTCTTTTAAGCTTTAGTCCAGTAGGCAGAACAGAACAAGCACAGATCGTTTAGATGTTGGTAGTTTCTTAGCAGGCCAAGATATCTCAGTTAACTCTTTTAGGTCTGGCTCCTGTTTTATTGCCTATAAGAATCATCAAATATGATAGCTCTTCTATATAATTCCTTACTTTATAGTTCCATCTCATGTTGTTCAACTTAATAGTTGTGTAGGTCACAGTGTTATTTCATCAAGATCTCCTAATTAATCAACTAAGTGCCCTAAACACAGTTATGGGACACTCTGAAGACATAGATCATAACCAGCCTTATATACTCTAAAGAAGACATTTAATTTCAGTCTTCTAGAAGGCATAAAAGGATGTAGATTATGTCACTGGAAATGTTAGAACAAGTATTTGATTAGTTAATGATGCTATGGGGCCCTTCATATTTATTATGAAACTTCACACCACTGAAGATCAAGGTCAGTACTTTGATGCTCCAGCCTCCTACTCTAATTAGCCAAGGGATGAAGAAATTGTGCTCTCTATGGCAACACACAGCCAGTCCCAAAGTCATAGTGTGATGATTAATTCCTTTGACTGCTTTGATATCTCTTTTAACATTGCTCTGATATAAATAAATGCTACTGAAGTTAGGTATAAGTGGAAATATTACCTGATTCAGTGACATGGAAAATGAAATTGAATTATCCAAGAGCATTAATCATTAAGGCAGCTTAATGCTGGAACTGTGTAATTGAATACATGTATTTTTCTCAAAGGATTTGAAGTGGTTAGATAGGAACTGAAGCCCCGGGGCAAACTTTTAATTCCTCTAAGAATTCAGTTAATAGTTCAATCTGGAGTTTTCTGCGTTTCTACGTTCAGTGGAGATCAGTGGTTACTGCATACGTTTTTGCAAAGGAGGAAGAAAAAACCCCAAACCTTCTGTGTACTCTCCACATCTCCTGGATATTTCTTCAGGATACAACTGAAGAGATCATGGCCAAGTTCCTTAGATTTGAGAGACTGATGTACACATAACTTTGTAGAACTGGATCCTGGCCTAGTCTTGCAAATATGACTAAAAAAGAACACAAGTCTAGACAACTGTATTGTATGATTCCACTTTTTAAATACAATCTGTCTTATCATGTTTTACTTCTAAAAGCTTGCATGTTTATTTAAGGGGTCTATATATATACATATGTGTATATACATTTACATTTTTGTGTGTTCACTTTATGCAAAGATAGAAGAGTAGCTTTTAATTTCCAAAAATCTATCGTGTCCATCAAACAAACAAGCATGTAGTTTCCTACTGTGTTTTTAAGTGAGATGAAGAAGTGAGAATTTTGGAGGGTCAAGAAAATCTATCAGTGATGCAAAACAAGTGTCTGTCAAAATAAATAGTTTCCCTGGTATGCAAGAGGAACATCCTACAATATCAGTTATTATAGATAATTATTTGAGATGAACTCTTACATGTGATACGTTCTTAAAAATGTTTCTCCCTTTCTCTTCTCTCCCCTCAGTTGCCATGTATCGAGAACCATCTTTGCATGATATTGGAGAAACAGTGCCAAAGGCTGGGGTAACTCCAAGTAAAAGCACAAGTGCATCTGCAATAATGAATGGCGGCAAACCAGTTAACAAGAGCAAGACGACATAGCCAGATCCTCACAGGTGTTGTGACTTACTGAATCTCGAGTACAGTTGAGCGATTTATCCTTGCCAGACTTCCTCTCGGCAGTGTCTGTGGATCAGCTTGCAGCAAGTCACCGACTTGCCCGTTGCTGTTTCTGAACTGAGTTGTTGCAAGTGGATAAATCTCAACATGTAGCTCTACCCAAAACAAGAAGACACCTGGACAAACCAGCTAAACTCAGACCATGGAATGCCCTACCAGATATTGGAATGCCTTTTTAATATCTTTTCTGTGACTGTGACACTTCATGTGAATCACATACTTCACAAGTACACTTGATACCTTGCCTGCTGACAATTGCCCATAATCCCTTTTTGAGTCCACTTTCAGCAAAATCCATGTGTTTAAGTTCTATTTTGTAGCACACAAATAATCAAGTAATTTCTAGTTAGATGCTGTAAACCTGTGCTATTATGAATTTCTCTTCTTCCCTTTTTTATAAGGCTGCTCGCTCCACTGTTTGTGAACTTTTGCAGGGATTGTGTTTCTCTATAACTTAAGTGTTGCCGGTGGCTTAGTTTTGAAAGCAATCAGGGAATCGGAAGCCTTCAAAAATCTATTATTACAAATTATATCTATAAAGAATAGGATCGTTGTCTCTGGCTTACAATATTGATTAAATGTGAATACTCTTTAGTAAAAGATACTGTGCTTCTGAGGTTGGCGTTATAGTGGAGGGAAGAGTGTCAAACACAACCAACGGGGAGTTTTATGAAACACGTGTTTGGCATCCCCGTATAGTTTCTTTTTGTGTGTGTGTTTTATACATATCACAGGCTTACTGGTAATGGTAACATTTGCCTTGCCCAGCGAGCAAGACCCACTCACTTTTGGGAAAGTGGGTCCAAAGAATTTTGTAGGCCTTGTAGGCCTGAATTAAGGCTCATTTTTCATCTACTAAATCTTCATTGTTTGAAAAACAACCACCACCAATAAAAAAAAAAATAAGCAAGACTAATCAGAATCGTGCTACCTACATCCATTTCAAATATAATCCTTTCCTGTTTTTAAGGAACTGAACTTAATGCCATTGTTATTTTTGGCTGAATTCCACACCTACTTAGCAAAGCATGGGCAAGGATGTTGTGTTCTTTTTTGCAGCACCAATGCAAAGGGTAGTTACAAATTATAGTTTAATATTTCTGGTGTTTAAAAAAAATTTTAAAACTGGACATATTACAAAACTTTATTTTTGTTTTTAGCTAAGCATGCAAAGTCCAGTCCTAGGTATTTCACTGATATTCCGGTATGTACCTCCACCCAGCTTCTGAGGATAACATGCCCACCAAATTGCTAGATTGAAGGTGCCTTGCCTTGATCTCTATATACTGTACTTTCTCCTACATCAATCTAGAAGAAATGAAAAACATTATAAAATTGAAGCCTTGGATCATATTACCAGAAACAACATTAACCCCTCGAGTTTCTCCCTTGTGAACAATTAAGCCAATGTTATGGGGTGAGGTGGGCTTGGGGGGGGAAGAATTAGAGAATGCCACAGAGGTGCCACTGAAGTTTTTGCATGCTTAGTCACCGGCTTTCAGGAGATTAAAAATATGGGCACTCTCTGAATGCTTAAGATGGAATTTATTTCTCAGAAATGGCAGCAAAGATCAAACTCTATCTCAGTCTGGAAAACTGTGTGGCCTCTTGCTGTTACCTTGATATTTAAAGACAAAAAAGCTGGAAACCATCCATTCCTTTTTTAGCACTGTATTTCTGGCAATTTATTTTACCACGTCTTTGTGCTGAAGTCCCTAAGAGAGGCTGCTGGTTATTTCAAAGTCCCTGTCTGCTCAGCTGAACAACTGATTCAGTCTGAATGAACTCTTCATACTAGTTTTCAAATGTGTTCTGTTTTTATAAGAAACATTTAGTGCACTCTTCAAGGAGGCTACTGTAAAGCTGCTAAATTCTAGATAAAACTTTTTTTTTCTGTAGGTCAGACTTCCTTTTGTATATGTGCTATGAGAACAGCAAGCTAATGCTTGATGTTGGGTCTTTCTAGGGAGGGAATGAGTTAAGCATGAAGCCCTCTATCCATGTAGGGGGAAAAAAAAAAAAACAAAACAAACCTAATCTAAAACTGTGATAAAAATGCAAAGAAACTTGGACTTAGACTGTGCCCTTGTCTGCTAGCACTAAATATGTGTGCATGGGGAAAACACCACTTTATTAAAAATTTTGGTGTACCCTTCTAATCCTATCTGGTCCAGTGGGATTTATGCACCATCCTTGAGAAAACAAAACAAAACCAAAGCAACTCACATGATGAGCTGGGGGCTTACTCTCCACCTGTAGGATTCATGAGAGGCAGCAGCCATGATGCTGTACTATCAGCTGGGTCCCAGGGATGGCCCCGGGCCTTCCAACAATTATAAGAGGAGCACTTCACAATATTTCAAGTAAGGCAATACAGCTGAAGGCTACATTCTCTCTCACCTGATTCATGAGGAGTGAATACACAAGTTCATGTCTCATCCAGCTGTCTTTTTACTCCCCAGCGTAAGAGCCTGAGGAGAGACGGGGCTGGAAAACTGGCTGAGCAAAGCGAGGAAGTTCTGGTTCATGGCTTGATCCTACATAAGTATTGTTTTCAACACTAATATTTTGATCCTGAGTAACTATGATCTGTGAACCACTTTGGGAGTCTATAATTAAGGCCAGATTTAATTTCTGCAAGTTGTTAGTGCATACTGGAAATACAACATTTTTTTAAATTATTGTTTTCTGGTTTTGTTGCTGTGGGCTAAATTCTTATGTATGTTTAATCCAATGAATAGATGTCCTAATTTTTTTTTATTATTACATTTTGTTTAAACATAAAAAGTTGTCTTTGTGCTTTCTTTCTTCCCTTTTATTTCGTCTTGTCTCATCTGTTGCATGGAAAGAGGATGGCAAGGATGAACTGCATGTTGTAGGTTGTACCTGTCAAAGAACTGTTGGTCAGTATTACTAAATTTACGAACATATATGCAAAGAGTTTGCATTGTACAGTTTGTTTATTCTTATTTGATGTATACACAGATTCAAAATGATGAATAAAGCACTTATATGAAGGCATATATGAAACCAACAAAAAAGTTTATGTAAAAAGTAGACTGTGCAAAACATCATTGCACTGCCCACAGGATGGTGAAACTTCATGTAAATAGGTTGGCAAACTCAATTCTCCCCCTTTACCATGCCAAAGAAAATTTTAGCTCCTTAATATAATACCTCTCTTGCTGTTCTCCAGAATAAGAGTTCACCATTTTCTTCCCTCTAAAATTAATTTTGCTTTTAAGTGAAAGCTGTTTTCAACTGTCTGTTACTACTAAAGTACTGTATAGTAAACCTGATGGAATAAATTTGTATTTATAGACTGGGGGTTTTGTACTTACATGTGCAGCTGCCTGTGAATCTGCAGCCTTCCAGATCTTTTGCATGCTTGCTTTGTATTTTATTCTTCTGGTTTTTCTCTAATCTCTGAGAGACTGTTTGCACAGCAATCTAACCTCATCTTACCATTTTATATGTTAACACTGCATATAGTCATTATCTCTTCCCTTTTTTTTTAAATCTGTATTTCAGCTACAGTTCTGTTTGGCAAAATCAATCACATCTGCGGTTTCAGAAATCCAGTTTTAAGTAGATATGAACTATTTCAACAAAGCACCATTTTGTTGTACTTCAAAAATTTTATAAATACACAAGAATCCTTATGAGATTGCTCACATGATAGAGCCTATAGAAAGGGCTCTAGCTCCTTTTAAGTGCTTTGTGGTTCACATAACACAGCCTTTGCTTAACTTGTTGGGGGTTTTAGCCATTCTCAAATGATTTTTTAATATATTGTCATTTTCATAAACTTTAACTGGTGTAGTCATGTTGATTCTTACTAAACCTCTCCCCTCTCTCCCCACCGTCTCACCCCCATAAAGTAAAGACATTCACTTTGACTATGGCATATACCTGACACAACACTAAGAACTCTGGCTTTATATATATATATATATGTAGGGAAACTTTTTGTCTTAATTTAATACTAGTTTAAGCAATGAGATATGAAATCAGTTTGGTCCATGCAGTAAAAGTATGTCTCGCTGATCCTTCTGTTTTTGGTATAAAGAAGAAATTATTCAGCTCCATTCAGATGGGAATGCAAATAAAATCAGACTAAATGAGAAGGTTCTCTTTCTTTTAGATGACCCTTTAGATAAATTCATATTCTGTGCAATGCATTCTAAAACGTTTAATAAGAGGGGTTGTTTTGGTGATGACTAATGCAAATGCTATGACTTATTTTTAAAGATGTAATAAAATTTTTGTTCTGTTACCTAGTCACAGAAATATTCAACTGAGCTTTCTTCATCCCAGTATCATGTAGCTGTATCCTTTAGCTACAAAGTGAGATGTCATTCTGCTAAGAAGCAATGGGCAAAGCATCAGAAAAGTGAGAGCAGGTACATGACTAAATGTTCATCTGCGTGTTTCTAAAAGAGAGTGTGGCCACTGAAAAAAGGGTCACAAGCAGGTTAATAATTTATAGAAGCAAATCAATCCACAGCTGTTTTATAGCTGATATTACAGATAAGTTATATACAGTAGCCATTATCCTGCAAGTCTATTATAGAAGCATTCAGCACACTTCTGGATTGTGTTCTTTCTCTCATAAGAAAGCAAGGACATAATATTTTTTTCATAAGGTTTACTAATTTAATCAGTACAAAATCCTCATTTATCCAATTTGATTTTGCCTTTTGTCACAGGCCTGGGAGAAAGTTTTTACGGTCACTAGCTGTAAAGAATCAAGCAGTAAGTTTCACTTCCTTATGCCTCTTCCTGCTGTTACAGTTTATGTATCTAGAATTCCCATCATACGGAATGAGGTGTAAAACAACAATTTGATATTACAGCTATTATATTCACATATGTGGAATAATAATCTTATTTCTTCCAATCTCATTTTTTAGTGAGAAAATCAGCCACAAAACAGATCTGCTGGGTGTTACACCACCAGTTACCTCAACATGAAGAGGGGAAATGTTCAAGCAACGTTATAAGACACAAAATAAAAATTGGAAAAAAATTAATGTGAACATTACATTTTTAATAGTCTTAGTTAATACTTTATGGTTTATAGTAATAGCACCGTTTTGTTTGATAATTGCATTTTAATGAAACACAGAGAGTAACCGTTGTAGATATCCTATTTTTTTTTCCATATGTAATATAAAAAACAACTTGGATAACAGAAATACTGTGGCTGTGTAATCCGTCCAGTAGTCAAAATGTTGGAGTTGATTGTTTTTTTTTCAAAAAAACCCAAACAAACTAGAAATAAGAATTAACTTACATTCTTTAAGTATATAAATTTAAAATTAAAGCAAATTACAAAGTAAAATGCATCAAATACGATACTGCAACCAGCTAAAGAATTGTTCTTTTATATATGAATGAGTACCTGAAATACCACAACTGGTCTACAGTATATATAAATCTGCTAATGATGGCATGAACAAGCCAAAAGCATCTACTGACACCAGATAACAGTTTTGATTATCTGATATTTTCTTATTACTGTACTAAATACAGATGGAAGAAAATAAAGGAAAACTTTGTATCCTTCACTGTTTCCACTCTGATTCAGCAGGTGAATGTATATGCAAAAAACCCACTGATTACAAGGTGATTCAGGTCAGCTGTATTCGTAAATATAAATAAAAACAACAATCTGTGCTCTCCAGACACCAGGGTTGGCAAAATGCATATATGCTGAAACTTAAGAAAATATTTCTGTTCAGTTCCATGGAGTTTAAGGGTTACAAGTATAAAGTATAAACGAAAATTTCAAGATGATTTTATTTTGAAGATGCTTTATACTGTATCAATATCTTTTAGAACTCCGTCTGATATTTTGGTTATCTAACAAGAGAGCAGGTAACAGCTTTAGGATGTATGTCTCATTACTATCTGCAGAACTTATATATAAATTGGATGTTTGGTGATTATGCTCCCTGAGAACATGGGTTTCACAGGCTTCATTTTTAGAAAGAAATAATACAGGCTAACTAAAAAAAAACTGGGTGAGAGAACAAGCAACACGGGAAGGGGCAATAATAAGGCAATTAAATAAATTTGAAATTTTGCATTCTGTTACGTGTTCTGTAGCATTGTATTTTCCTATTTCAAAACCGTCCTTTCTAAAAGAAAACTAATTTCTAGATAAATAATGGAAATACATTATTTGGTTGATACATAGTTCCATTATTTCTGAATCATGTACCTCTTCTTAGGACCTTGGCACCTAAATGCCAGTGTTACAGTTTGGTATCTAAAAGAAGTATTTTTCAGCCATTTAATCAATTTTCTCACTCAACCATGATTTCACAAAATGTAAACACTTTTGAAACTAAAATGTGTATTTCTTCTTTTTGTTCTAAAGAATTCAAGGGCTGCCAAATCTATGTGTACAAAAAATTAAGAGACTCATATGTAAATAAGTTAGGGAAGTCCCAATAGTTGTGCATCATTCATTACTCAATGTGAATTTCACACTGAGCAGCATTTCACCATTGGAAAATAAAAATAAAATTTTTGTTCATACCACTGCTTTACTTGTATTTACTGTATTAAAACTTTAATTACTTTGTTGACATTGTCCAAATGTCTTTGGCTGAGACCAAGCTGCTGCATAGCATAGACAATTTTTCAAGTCAGTTGACCTTCAGGTTTCCCACTTCCATAAAAGCAGTTAAATTCAATGAATACCATGTGTGACAGTGTAATCTGTTCTAAACATTGATTTCAAATAGTAGACAGAATTTTCATCCTGAAAGTGACATATTTTCATTTTCAATATAACAAATTTTCATTTACTTTACTTTTAAGAGGCAACTGTACTACACAGAACAGTATGATAGAAGTATATATGAGTTGCAGAATACATATTCAGAATAGGCAATCATACATTTATATCTTTATTAGTTTCCTTCCTTATGTTCCCATAGGTTATGTACTTGAAAGTATTGTAGTATGTGGATTAGATAACCAACTTACTGACACATTAACCACAGAAACTAAGTTTTTTTGTGGAAAAGGGTCTGTTCAAACATTTCAGGTCTTCAGTTTATGGGTGTCTTGTAATTGGATCTCAGATAATTATTTTACCAAACAAAAAATCACTAATGTTTTTATAGGCTTCTTTACAGCTTCTTTCAATTTATGAGCTGGTGCTTAATCAGGATTGTTAGAAAGAAAAAAAGTCAAATAATGTATTTTTCCAACACCATAAAATTAATCAAAGTAGTTATTTGACAAATATTCAGCTAGTGTTACTCCTCTACAGCGGTATTGTTAAGATTGATAAGGAGAGGTGATGACCAAGTAAATAATGTCAAAAAAGGCTTTCTTATGCTTTTTCCAAAGGTTGCTTAAAGAAACAAGCATTATAGATATAATCTCAGTTCCACTGAATTTACAAAAAAAACTCTGGAGGAGTTCCACAGGGCCGGTATTTTATGACTTCACCCTCTAGAGCTGGGGTTGTCCTGCTCCCTTTTTTAGTTTTTTTGATGCATTTCTTTAAAGAGCAGGTCCTCAGATGTGTTCTAAGGTATTTAAAACCATGTATGTGTGCTTACATGCACACCCACACCCACACACTGAGCACTTCTGAAATTAAATGTTCTAGCAGCCTAAAGAAAAACAAACAAAAAAACCTCCTCAGTCTTTAACACCCTGCATTAAGGGTATTCTCTCCCCAGCCAGATTTCACAAGCATTTCCATTCCATCCTTCCCAGCACTCACAGTTTCCACAGCTACAAACACCGTTGCCTAGAATAGAATGAATAAAAGGCAATTATCATAATTGAAATGTACTACATTAAAATGTGTTTTACTGGAAGTAAAAAGCCATGGTAAAGTAGTTGCATTGTTCCTTTATTGTTCCCCTACCCCTTTTTTTTTTTTCCCCTTTGGAAGGAAGCAATTATTGTACCATTGCATTAAGAAATCACCCCAAACCTACATTTTCAAAGCATTAATAGCATTCTCTCAATAATTCCATCAGCCATATTGCAAATATTGTAATTGTGTATTGTGTAGTGCAACTGTATACATCAGTATCTGTACCCAGCTGGTGAGGTTCAGTGTTCGCACTGTGCCTCAAGGTACAAGGTAAAACAAGATTACTTTTAACTACTACAAAGAAAGAAAAAGTCATTAAAAGTTACCAACAGAATAGCAATAAAACCATCACTCTAAACATGAAAAACTTTACACCTACCTTTCCAGGAGCGCTATACAAATAAATCATATCTCAAACTCTCTATTAAGTGAAAAATGTGTTGGCCCCATTTTACAGTAGGGAAACATTACATACTGACACCTCTATTTTCATTTTATTTAAATATTTTTTATGACTCAAATGCTCAGCTTGAGACAGCTACAGCATGAGTTTCCAATGTGAACTCCTCTTCCTACCAGCTTTATGAAGATCCATGAACAGCCATTACAGCTGAAGATAAGACTTCTGCTGCCGCTACACTGGCTACTTGCCTCCAGAAAAGGACACTTGCTAATAGAGCTAGCTGGAAGACACAATTTACTAGTGTCAGCCCTCCCACTCTCACTCTAATCAACTTGCAGATTTCTTCCACGTCTAATAATTGCTGGCAAAATTTTTCTAAAATTAAGATTTGTAACAGGAAGAAGCCAATGAGTTAATTTAGCAATTCCCATGCTGCTTCTTGTCACTATGTTTATCGTGAGGGCTTGTTGGCACCCTGCTCGTTTCTATCCACATCTGCCACCTCAACTTTCAGACAATGTTAAGATGAAGTTGCTATAATAATTAATTTAATCATCAGTCATCACATCATAAGAAAAGTTATTGTGCATTTCAGGCTCCCACCAACAATTGCCTTATTGCCAGAAAGGTCTGTTAACCCACACAACTACGCCTCTGAGCCACCAAGGATCATCAGACAAGTGAATTTTGTCTGTGACTTAAATTTACACACATAGAATGTCCAGTAGAAGAACAAAGGCTAAGGAAACCTCATGATCGTAATGCTGACACTATGTCCTTTGCCAAAAAAGCAGTAACTTGTAGTCTATTACAATGAGAATTGTTGATGGATGTAATAGCTGACTTACTTATTTAAATTCATGCTCGGGCTTTCAACTGTTGTTTTGAAACCTTAAGTTGATTATCACACTGCATGAAGAAACAATTATAGCAGATTTGAATAACCAGCAAATGCACTTCCTCTGTCAGTGGGGAAAGAAGTAGCTTGGCTTTGTCTAACATAATTCCCATCAACACAGTTTGTTTCCTGAAGCAATTAAGTGTTAGCCTGTACTGCACCTGTGCAAATGAGACCGTCATGTTTGTCACAGTCTCTGTCATCGCATTCACAGAAATCGCCTGAAATGTACCACTCCTGGGGAGAACAGATGCACTTTCCACAGTGGCAGGAACCTGAAATCACAAAAATTATTACTCGCAGTCAAAGAGCACTGTCAGTTTCAGACTAGAAAACAACAACCCGCGACACACACGTGCACACATATGCACGTGTGCATATGCACAAAATTGCTGCCTAAGAGGCTATTACATAAGAGAAAATAATCAAGCTAAAAGTCTTTTGAATGAAAGGATTCTTTTGGCATGAGCTTGAGTATGGTGGAATGTTACTACTAACGCTTTGATCCTGCTATTTCACTTAATCAAGGCTCACATTCTTAAGCTTTCTTTTGGTTTCAGAGACCTACAATCAGGGCTTCTCTTCCCAGTAATTGTTCTTTTTTTTTTTACTAGAAAAGCTCAAATTGTCCCCAGCCCACTGTTACTGAAGGCAATAAAATCACACCCAGGAAGGAAATAGTCCTCCTCATCTAAATTTAGGGCTGGGTCCACAAAAGACCGGCAATGCACAAGACTAACATTTAGACCCCCAAAATCCTCATCACCACAAACAAAGTTTCTTCACCTCCCATGGAATTACTAATTAATTATTTGCTCTAGGTCAGAAAGAGTTTGAGCACATAATGGCAGTTCAGCACTTGGCTTATTCCTGCAGTGTACACTAGTGCCCTTTGTTGGGGCAAGCTGCTCTCCTCCTTCTCCGGGATGTCAGGTCACAGTCCCACAGGGAAAGGAGAGACTCTATGGTGATGTTCAGGTGATGCCATAACCCACAGAGCACCAGAAACCTCCTTTCAAGGGAAGGCTCGGAGACATTCTTACCTTCAGAAGAAGGTTCATGTCTCTGAATCCTGGAAAGTGACAATTGCCCTCAGACAATCATGTGTCAGGAAGACTGTAGTCTGAGAATGGGGTGAGACAGGCTTTTCTGCAACTAGAAATGCCACTAGGAGATGGTCATTCCTTCTGGATGATTCCAAAACTTGGCTGAAAAGACTCAACTTTTCAGATCCTATCTTCAGCAGCTTGACCCTATACAGATTTCAGTACAACACCTACAACGCTAAGGTGGGGCTCTTAGTAACTGCTGAGCAAAAAACCTTTTGTGAACCAAGCCCTAAGAAAGGGTTACATTAGAAAGCATTATTAAAAAAATCGACCCCCCAAATAAATTATAGCAAAGGATACACACATAAATTTTCAATTATCAGAGGCAGAGTTAAAAAAAAAAATCATCAAATAAGTTGTTGACATTTAACAGAACATACTTATAAATTAGTTAAATGCAGTTGAAAATCCTAGCTTCCTGCAATATTTCCAGAATGATTCCAGTAAAAGTCACCAATGTGCTTAATACAATATTAAGGAAAAAATATATAGAAGGAAGCTTGGTTATGTCAGAATATAACCTAAATAGAATTCATGGGTTACTTAACAGGGCCTTAGCCAAAGCCTATAAAATTATGCTTTTCCATCTTTCCAGTTCTTTCAGACCTCTGAAAAAAATCCATAATAATGATCCTATTACACTTTTTTTTTTTTAAAAAAAGTGCATCTCTTGATATCAAGGAATTTTCCATAGGTTTTTCCTGTAAATACAGAAGTACCTCTGATCACTGAAACTTAATTCTTGAAAACTTCATAACAGCCTCAGCAGAGTATTTAATTTTTAATTAAATATGTAAGTAATTTAATGTTTATTTTAAATTCACAAAAATTAACTCATTGCCTAATTTTAGGGAAATGTTTTAACTTGTAACATATGGAACATGCAAATATATTCAGGAAGAGCTAATGATTAGAACATTTGGGGATGGGAGCATTTGATTAAGCATCTACTTTTTCTGTGACTTCTGAGTATTCCTTACTGAGCCACCAGCACAGAAAATATTGACATACCCTACAAGGATAAAAAATGCCACTGTGGAGAATAGCATATATATTGCATGGTTGCTGTATAAGAGGTACACTAAGACTTACTTGAGGATAATTTAAACCAAATCTCTCTGTTCGTACAAATTGCAAGGTACAGACAACAGAAAATAATGAGGAATAGTATGATAATTTTAGTGAAATTAAAGCAGTTAATAAGAGTATTACACTGTAAAAAACTTGAAGTAATTCTTCATAAACAGCACTGATGCTGCTACTGAGGAATGCCCACAGTGTTTAAAACTATTTTGCAGAAGATACAGCAAATTTAACACCAAGTCAACCAAGGAAGATCAGGCTCCATAATACAAAATCTGTTAGGGAAATGAATCAAGCATTTTCCCTGAACAGAGCATGATGCTCTGGGAGGCCCCTTAGTTTAATTAAAATGAGTCTAATGAGTTGTAGGGTGTTTCCTGGGATCCCAGCCAGATCCTCTCGGATGGGATTTGGCTCATTACCTTGCCTACATCCTGCACTGTTACAGTCGCCATATGCAGCCCTATATTTAATGCCAGGGAGACAGCAGTGGTGGGTGTTGCTGTTTTCCTTTGGAAGAGCTCTTACTACAGGTGGCACAGTCAGAGAGCCAAGATTCTAAAAACAGACTAGGAATGTGGATGTCCAACTTTGCTTATATTAGCAGAGTGCAATTTTCTGGTATTGTTCAGCAGTTATCTGCTGAAAACTAGGACTCCTCACAGTCCTACAAAAGAAACTCAAGCTCCTCTCAGTCCATTATAACACTTGCTTATCCTGGCTAGGTTTCCAGCAAAATTCACTTTTATCTGAGAAGTAATCATTATTTTTTTTTCTCATTGTAATAAATCAGAAAGAACAATTTGCCATTAGGGTAATGCTTCACTAGCTATGAACAGCGTTTTAAAGTATGAGTATCCAGTAAGACATGATTTTCAGATACATATCTCAGCATCGAAAGTAGATTTGCCAAAAAAAAAAAAAAAAGAAAAAAAGGAAAAAAGGCTATAAATAATTACACTGTCTTTGCCTGTGATCCCCATCCTGCTCAGAGAAGAGGCAGGAGATAGTAGCCTGCTTGAATGTTTACTGACCACACAGAAATGAAGTTATCTTATGCAGGTATTTCTCTGCTGCAACAAACACATGTGAGCAGCTGTTTCTACAATAAAGCTCTTATAGCACCTAATTTGACACTGCTTTATTATATTGACTGTCCTCAGGGCAACCTTCCATCACACTGAAAGCTTACATGTGCTTGGGGTCCGAAGAAACTTAACAAAAAAAAAAAAATCCTACCACTCTTGCTGAATATGGATTTAAGGTCACAGAATGGGTAAGGTTGGAAGGGACAATTGTGGGGTCATCTAATTCAACCTCCCTGATGAAGCAGTTAATAAGAGTATTACACTGCCTCTCTAGAGCATGTTGAGCAGTATTGCATCCAGATGGTTCTTGAGCATCTCCAGTGAGAAAGACTCCACAACCTCTCTGGGTAATCTGTTTCAGTGCTCGGTCATCTGCACAGTAAAGTTCTTCCTCATGTTAAGGAACCTCCTGTGCATCAGTTTCTGCCCCTTGCCTCTCGTTTTACTGCTTGGAACCACTGAGAAGAGTCTGGCTCCATGTGTCAGGTTTGTGATTCCCAGAGGAAGTAAATGCTGTTCAACAAGAGAGCTACTACTCTAGAAAATCTGAGCCTTTGGAACCTCCATTCAAGCAGTCATGTGTAAAAGCACTACCTGCCTGCTGCTGGTTACAACCTAGAGCAACTTTCAGGCTGCTCCAGATTGCATTAGTGACCAGATCCCAAACCACCCCCTGGGCACTATAGCCAGCAGACAGAAAAATAATCCTGGGTGTCTCTGCAAATTTCTGCCAGATTATCTACTCCCAAAGCCTCAGAGTAAATTGTATCCTTGATAAACGGTCTCAAAGCTAATTGTTCTCAGAGTAAGACCCACGGGCTAGTGGGCTCTCAGCCATCCTTATAAAAAGGTAGAAGATAATACAAATACTTTAAAAATCAATATAATTTTTCATGTTTATATTTATTTAGAATCTCACATAGTGCATTTTATTTTTACTAAGAATATTCCCTCACCTTTATGGTTTATATAAAGTATCACAGGGAGACCAAGACTAAGAGAAGAAAAGTTAATTTCTACAGTAAAATAGAGTCATTCATTTTCTCTAACAACTCACCATTCTCTTACACATACACTAATTTAAACACAGACACATCTGGAAAAAATAAAGAAACAATGCAACTTGCTCATTTTCTATGACATTGCATCAATTGGGGACAGAAAAAAACCCAAAATAAAATGAAACAGTTCTTCAGGAGAGAATTCCAAGTGATAATACAGATGGATGAAGGCCAGGCTGGAAACCCTATTTAAATTTCCTCTGCACTGAAATAAAAGTTACCAAAGGGAAAACTGGAAACCTGCCTGATGGAGAAAGCTCCTAACTGTTTTTTCCAGCTGGTCCTCTGTCTATGCAAGGGACATAAAAATAGAGGAAATGGCACATAAAATCTGGAGTGAGTGCATTCTAGCCTCCAGTCAGTCCCACCACCCATTTTTTGTCTATTCTCTTTCAGTTATATTATATACAAAAATAGGCAATTTGCACTATGGGGGAGCTAAAAAGCCCTCTTTCCATTAATGCAATTTCCTAGCCTGAAAGACTGCAAGGTAGGAACCTCAGAGAACAATTTCAGATAACTATCAGGATTTTCTAACTTTTATTCTTCCCTGTGGCATTTTTTTATAGCTGAACTGAAGCTGATGCAACCACCTAAATGAAAATTAGTAAATGAGAAAGTTTTCAGGATTCATTTGTGGGGGCTGCAGACACATACTTTGCTGTTGTGTTGGGGAGCAGAGTGATTAGGTATACCAAATGTTGCTGTTAAACACTCTCTTCCACTTACTCTTGCCCAGTATATTACATCTGTCATCTTCCCCACTGCAGTGTTTCTGCAGGTAGTGCCCCTTTCCCTCAAACTGGATGGAGCACGAACAGTTAGTTTATAGTGTACAGCTATTCCATGAAGACCATCAGCTAAACAGATACAGAAAATGATATGCTACTAACAAAATTGCATAGGGGAGCAACATCGCTGAGCATGTACGGCCGTGGTGGGTGTTTGACAAAATGGATATAAGTGCATTATGGAGCCAAATATAACATCCTTTTAATAATGGGTACCTTTGAAAAGAAAGGGTTATTAAACAACAACCCACTTCCATGCACATTAGTCTTCCAGAATATGATAGTTTTCCTCTGGCACTGCACTGACATGAAGTAGCTCAGCTGCCAGTTCTTACCCTTCCCCGAACATAAAATGCCATCCGCTGACTCGCAGAGACTTCTGCTCTCCTGCTCCGTCATGTTGCACTTCCTTGAGTGCTGGCACAAGTTTCCAAACCACCCATCCTGGCAAATGCATCGGCCGCAGGAGCAGATGCCATGGCCTGTAATGACACCAAGGTTGGTTATGACCAAGACAAGCAGAAACCAGTGACTGCAGTCACAGCCGAGATCACCTTCAGACCTGTGCAGTGTGGAGTGTGTGTAACGGGACAGACAGACAGATGGATGGACAGCACTGCTTCTCGGTAGGGTGGCCTTCTTCAGCTTTCATTCTTATGTTAAACAGTGATGTGCAGAAAACAAGTGAGGGAAAGGTCAAAGAAACTCTAGAACACAGGTCAAAGATAGACCCTAGAAGTTATAATTTATGCTTTAAAGACAGGGAAAAAAAAGATAAAATAAAATTTTTTGAGAGTTGTTTGTAAAAAAATTAATAAAAAAGGAAAATATTTTTAAGAATAAACTGAGTAGAAAATCTGGCCAGGAAGAAGGGAAAAGTGACAACAAATGCAGACAAAAATATAGGAATGGAGAATGAAAAAGAGAAGCAAAAAATGTCTCTCAGCCAGAATTTCATTTTTCAGCTTTGAATTATATTTCTGCGGCAGAGACAAAATTATACATACCAGTGACTTTTTTCCTACCCTACCCGCTATGTAGGGCAAGGGAGCAGAAATGAAAAGTCTGAGATAATTTGTGAGTATGGGCTGGGAAGAAGCAGTAGGAGTATCTGGCAAAGCATGGAGCTGCAGGATGTGGGGAAGCAAACCAGCAATTTTGTTTTTCTCATTTGTGGACTTCTCATGAGCCAGCAACACAACCTAATATTGTAAACAGGGAGGCAGCACTGGTAGAAGCCCAGAGGAGAGACAAACCTTACAGTTTGCTCTAAGTGGAGTTCCTTCAAAGTTTACTGATGGCCAAATACTTTAAATTAGAAAAATACTTTAAATTAGAAAAATACAGGGAGCTCCAAAGTTTTTTAGCTGTCATTTACAGCATCTAAATGTTAAAAATAATATTTGTATCCCAGACTCTGTATTGGTGTTTGGGTTTTTTTTAACATACCATCTATACAACTTTAAATGATTTGTAACAATGACAGTGTTACTATGACAGTATTGCTACCCACTTATGAAAATTGATAACTAGCAGCAACAGAAGCTTGATGCCACTTTTGAAGCTTGATCCTAGTTTTAGAAAGGGAAACAAGGTCAACTATATGACAAATCAAAATACAAGAGATAGAAAACAAGCATATACTGATATGCTCCTTCCAGATAGATGTCATGCAACTGTAACTTAATGTAATTAAGCTTCTGTCAGAGCATTTTTATGTCTTATTTATTTTTAATTAGTGACATATGGATTAGAATTGAGAATAGCTCTACCAATTAAGAGCAAAATATACAACTGGATGTCACTGTTGGAAAATTATTAGTGAACATACAGATGCTTTACTCATTTTAGCAGTGAATAGTACAAAATCTATGGTGATTTCACTGAGAAAATAATTTTGTTGGATTTTTCTTGTATAGTCATTATGTGTTACTGAATGCAGAGACTGATCATGTCTGTAAAGTCCTTACATAAGTCAAATAAAAAGGTAATGAATAATCTATAAATTTACTGCAGTTTACAGTTTACCATATAAAATTCGACTTGCATTTTCTGCAGTGACCATTCCTCTCCTCCTTTATGCCATATAAATCCTCAAACCATGAAGAATTCTTTCATCTCAAGTAATCCATTTTACAAAAATAATATGTATTCCTAGCTGACACTAGCTTGGGCAACTGCAGCTCTTTGGGTGCCTTGGGATATTGAGTATACGTGCTTTGCCCAGTGCTTGTTAACTCCTCGCTATCTCATGTGTGTGTGGTAGCCTGAGAAAAACTGTTTTACGTGATTTTGTTCTGTATATCTTCCTTGCAAATCACAGAGAAAAGATAGTGTGAATAGTTAAATCAGTATTTTATCATGTTAAACAATTAATTTTGGGCTGGATTTCTTCACTTAGAGATTTTTCTTTACCCCAACTGTTCAGATTGAGAAGATTTACTGGAAAGTGTTGGTCTATCATAATTTCAAATTTAACAAAAAACCATTAAAATCATAAAAAAATTGCATTGCAATGCAATGGTTCTGAGACTACAGATCTCCATTAATAAAAATCTATGTTAATGAACTTCTAAATATTTAACACAGTTTAAACATTAATGTCCAATCAAGAATAAAGACTCTGATGGGGGAGAGGTAAAGGACAGAAAAAGATGTTGCTAAAAATACTGTCATTTTGTTTAGAATTAAAACTCCAATAACCACAAGACTTAAATGTAAAATATGAATGCAGCAACAAAGCAAGCTGTGACAGTTACTGGCGGGGGTCCATTATAGCCCAACTCATCCCGAACCGAACAGGACTCTGGGATTAATTATTTCTTAACATGATTAGAAACAAAATTGTGTTGTTGTGGGAAATCAGTTTAGGACTACTAATACAGCTGTTGTTGGAGTTCCTGAAAAACCTGCTTGATCATTTTGTAATACAAAAGGCACAACCACATGGGAACATCAGCATGATGAAAAAGGTGAAGTAATCATCACAGAGAAAGCTGGTTCTTATTTCTAGACTGTTTATAATCAGATGATGTTTCTGAAGGGCAAACTAAGGCCAGGCCCAAGCAAAATTTGGCACCTCAGGCTAGGAGTATGAAAAATTGCAGCACAATGCAGGATCCCTTATATAGAACACTTCAGTAAATTAAACAAATATTTCTCTCTGTATTTAAATGGAAACAGGATTTCCTTTTTTTTTTAATTGCAGGACTTTCCATTATATTATTAACAGAAGAGAATATTAAACATTTGTCTGGGAGAAATATTTCTAAGTAAACAGGCTTCATTACCCTGCCAAAATATGCTAAACAAGTTGAGAAAAACATTACTGTAACACTGATTTTTACTTTTTAGTTTTTATTGAATAAAAGGAGAATGTCATAACAATTGTGAAAACTGTAGTTAGAGAAGCCTAATATAAATGTGAAGCAAAATACTGATTGTCTATTATATTTTCAAAGGAGGCCAGTTAGTATTGTCTGTCTAATAAAGGTGGACTGTGCCTCCAGTTTCAGCAGCATAACAGTCACATAGTTCAGTAACACCTTCAAGTGAAACCTGCAGTGAAAAGGGCTGATACCATCCTCATATGCATATAGCAGTAGAACAGTGACTAGGAGCAGAATTAGAGCATTGATGAGATGAATATTAAAGTCCTGCAACTCTGTGACATCGATGTTTGAAGAGATTTTCCAAAACTTGGAAGAGTACTAAAAAGATGTAAAGAATTCAAAGGCTACCAGAATGGGGATTCTCAAACTACCAGAGAAAGACAAAGCAAGGGATAAAAGCTCATACTGATAAAACCACTTAAGAAATGAACCAGCATTTCAAAAAAGGGTGATGACGATCGGAACAAACTATAAAGTGATGTTGGCATGGACTATACAGGAGCCTTCAGAGTATGGCCTGCTCAGAGACAGGCTTTTGCTGCACACACTACACAAACTTCAACATAGGGGAAGTATGGATGTAGTGTAATGGCTTATTTATAGACTAATATACAAGGTTCAGCAAAAAAACCGCTTTGGGATTTAAAAATTAATATCTACTAATCACCTTAAATGTTGGTGCATTAGCAATTCCTTTACTGCTCATTTGAACGGAAAGATTAAATTAAAATGCTTTTATAAACCTAAATCATATTTTATGCTATCTGAAAAGCTAATGAAAATATGATCTCTGTGTACCTACACAAAGTCTTGACTTTTCATACACCTACACAAATGTCTGGGTAACCAGGACAGAAATCTGTAGGACATTTAAAAGAAAAAATTATAAAAATTAAAATTAGTTAAGTAAAACTATAATAATTTAATACAGACTATACAATATCATTAATACCTATACTGGCTACAATAGGTAGTCTCATATCTAATACATACTGATCCTTTTGAATTTATCTGTTGCTGCCCCTGGATGTACCTCAGAGCTGGGATGAAACAGTTAAGCACGAGGACACAGGCATTGAATCATTAATTCTCTACTTAATGTTGTCAAAATAAAGCCCTAAATCACACTAGTTTTATGCCAGTTAGACTCTGACTTCTCCATTACCTAACATAGTCATTTTCACTTTTGTTAGATCTAATTTCACTCAGTAAACACACGTTCGAATGGTTGATTTCTTTTTTTGTTTTTTGTTTGTTTGTTTGTTTGGTTTTTCCTCTGGAGAATAAACTGCATTTCTCAATAACAAATACCGTAATAGAATTTCTTTATTTAATAGTACAAAAAATGTCTAGTGAATTCTGTGACAAGTGTTCTGTGACAATGTTGTTCAGATTTCTCAGTCAAAAGGATATGGACCCTGCTCCAAAGACTTTCCAATAGAACAGGTGAAAAACCTGTCAGTAGGAAATAAACTCTTATTTTAACATAGAAGGGACCACAGACAAATTACAGGTTCAATTCAGATGCCTAGTGCCATTGGACATACCCTAAGGCACAAAGGACATCCTCATGATGGCACCAGCTATGCAGGAACACCTGTGTCCTTGTGGAGCCAAGCTGGGGTCAGGTAAGGGAAGCCTTGGGTATCAGAAGTGATAAAAGGTGCTTTACTTTAGGTGCCTGAAGACTTTGCAATTATGTCCCACATAGTCTGAGAAGCCATGGCAGACTCAGGAGCTGAATTTATATTTCTGAATTTTCATACCAATCACTGCCAAAACCTATCTTTGGGAGAGAGACAGGTTTTTCTATCCTAATATGGTTTTTAGGTATAAAAACCTATATAGTTCTATTTCTGTGGAGCACTGCTAGTGCAAGAAACAAGGAAATTTTCTGACAGCAACTGTACCATAATATTAACTTTGCTTAATGAAGTATATAATTAATCATAACTCTCTCATTTTTATGGTTATAGTTTTATTGGTCCTCATAAGAACATGCTAGCTGAAAATATCATGCTTCTGCTTCACTGAACAGATGACAAAAATAAATCTCATTCATGATTTCTGCAGTATGGACCTAGAACATT